TTGAGTGTCACCAGATGATTAGTGACCGCCAATACTCTTTAATCTCTATGCATTTTTTTATAGGATAGGGTGACAAAGGAGCACACAGTTCATCTGATGTTAAGTGATTGCTGTAGCCCATAGACATCTACATCTATCCTCGATTACGCACTCAAAATGCAGATGCGTTGTCACCCGTGAGGACTAAGATGGAATGCCTCGTTTCCAGTAAAAAGGGTCTCCGGAGAGTATAGTGAACACTCAACTTACAAAACACATCAGCATTAAGTTACTATTTTACGCTGGTATTCTGTGAGAGCGTGGTCCTTCCCCGGTTGAGTCGACCCTTTCGTGCTACAACTAAACTACTAATATAACTGCAGCATGGCTCTACCACGTATAAAATAATATAATATGCATATAATACTTTGTGCAATACGTATAAAATTTTCTTTCGCATCTACCATGAGGAGTGCTCTGAGGAATTGTTGGATTAATCCCAGCCGCCAAATTTCATGAACGCAATACGCGGCAAACCTCCCTTTACCATCTACCGCCACCTGGATGCTTGGCGGTCCATCACTGAACGTTTCACTAGGAGTTTTCTTCCGCGTACGACCTCTCTGTGGAATTGTTTACTACCAGCGATTTTTCCGGACCGATACAACCTAGGGACCTTCAGAAAAGAGCTTACAGCTTGTTACAGTTGTTAATGGGCGGCGGGAGTCACTTAACTCGTTTTCCCCTCTCCTATAAAAAAGCCCTGATGACAATGTTGCCACAAAGTAAGGCTAACTTTGCCATTTTATATTTTTGAGTATTTTACCTAGATATTTTTTTAAATCACTAATAAATACCAAGTCTATGAAGAATATAACGTCACATTTAATATTAACGCCCAGTCTGCGAGTATATAGTAATTGGAAAATTGGTCCTAGATTTTAAGTCCTTCCAAAATTACCTATTCTCACATAAGCTCATCAATAGTCAGCCCATGAGCAATAATTTGATGATAATGGTTCTCTATATAGAAATATATCTATATAGAATTTCGGTACACGGCGTCCAATCTGAACGGTGACTAGGTGACGCGAGACAGATTTATAGCGCCCGAGTTTATGCGCAAGCACAGGTGCACTCTCCATTCCGCCACTCTTATAGTCCAATGGAACGGTATTTCGACACGACTGGAGAGGGATCAGGCACAGGACCAACGGCTTTACGTGCTTTCTGAGGTAAGGGGATAAAACACCGCCAACTTGCATTAAGGATTTTTTTGGCGTAAAAACCCATTAACTGATGATAGACCAACCTGGGATTCGAACCCGGGAGCACATGATCAGCAACTGAGTTTACGACCACTAAACCAATTACCCAGTCAAGGTACATATATATGTTAATCTATATAAAGTATGATCTACGTAAATAGATACATCTTGTGTAGGCACTGTAGTCGCGTCACTACTATAATGTAAGCGCACCTAAGTCTAAAACACGATATCCTAATTTCTGAACTGCTCCTATATCATGATCATCATCATTACAGCCCTTCACAAGTCCACTGCTGAACATAGCCCCCCCCCCCCCAGGGAATGCCACAAAGCGCGGTTCTGAGCCATCTACATCCATCGACTTCCTGTATATATAAAACAAATACTACATGGTGCGTTAGCCGCTCATGGACCTGCCCTGTGAAAGATATCCCCTTTTTCTTCCAAGGCCAAATATCACTGTCACTTGCAACCAACTGCAAGAGCAAGCGGGACTACAGGTTAGTGATCATCACTAAAAACTAACAGAATGTCTCATACCCTGTCGGCGACATAGTGTAGTGTTACGATAGCTAAAGAGTTCAGTCAAACACTGCACCCACTTAGAAAGTTATGACCAGTATTAGACAAAACTATTATATTAAATGGTATATGGAATGCTTTCTCAAGCTCAACGAACACATGTGCAGATTTTCATATGCACGTTACGCTATTCTCTAAGTTGGCGAAGTACTACAAAACCGGGAATTGGTTTTAGGTTACCTCACTCTCTCAGTCGTCTCGCAACCATTCTTTCCAAAATCTTAATATTGTGTTACATGTGCTTTATTCCTCGATAGTTACCGCAATCCTGTACATTGCCCTTATTTTAGAAATCTAGCACCAGAGTACTGTTTCAGTATTTATCTAAGATTGCTTCAGCTTTGAAAATATCGTGCGTGTGTACAAGACGCACACCGCAACTAAACGATTGGTTCTGAGTAACTTCATCATAGCGTATCACATGAGCTATAATTATCGATAGTTGTAACTATGATGTTCCACACCCCAGTTTGTGAAAATAAAAACCAGTCGTGTTGCACCAACCATCCGGGAACGCCTCACCTTTGAGAACAGCGTACGAATGGTAGTAATGGTTATTACTACCATTCGTACAGCAGCATACGTAGCAGCTTTGCTGTTGCACGTATGGGCCGGCTCAAACCGGGGTGGTACCACGACCTCACAGAATACCGGCGTGAAGTGGAAGCTCTGCTTCCGCATTTCGTCTTGTGAGTGCAGTTGGCCGGAGGCCCAAATCCCCCCCCCCCCATCAACATGGTAGCGGAATTAAATAATGATAGACTACCCCAGGAGGGTACCAGCACCCCTGGAGAATCCCTCGCTGAGCATCCACGACCATGTTTCTCCACTTCTGAGCGTGGGTGCACAGGCTGCCCCGCGTATTCTGGGGGGGCGGGGGCAAAATTTCGCTCAAGACTACAACTGCTCGGGGCAAACGGAGCAACAAGACCAAGGCGATCCCTGCCACGCTGTCCGTGAATTTCTGCAATATCAGGGGACTTCACTCTAACCTAAACGCCGTCCACGACCATCTCGAGACGGCGAGGCCGGCTCTGCTCTTTCTGACCGAGACGCAGATCTCTGGCTGATTTCTCGTATCTCTCCTCTCTCTCTCTCTCTCCTCATTAATCCCGGTGTTCCACAAGGCTGCGTGCTATCGCCAACGCTGTTTCTTCTGCATATCAATGATATGTTGCAAACCCGTAACATTCATTGCTATGCAGATGACAGCACTGGTGATGCTCTTTACACCGGCCGAGCCAATATTTCTCGGGAAAACGTCTCCGAGTGCCAGGACAAACTTGTGTCTGAAGTCGAGTCCTTGCTGAACAGTCTCGGATTGGGGGCGACTAAATCTAGTCCAATTTAACCCCCAGAAGACACAAGTTACCGCGTTACGCGCTAACCGCTAAAAAAACCCCTTTGTCGTATCTCCTCAGTTTCAAGGCACTCCCCTTGTTGCCTCAGCCAGTATCGGAATCCTCGGCGTTGACATATCGAGTGATGCATTTCGTGGTCACTTGGAAGAGAAGGGCCAAATTGGCCTCTAAAAAGCTTGGCGTGCTCAGCAGAGCGGTACTGTATTTCATGCCGGCACACCGCCTGCAACTTTACAAGGCGCAGGTTCGGCCGCACATGGAATACTGTTCCCATCTCTGGGCTGGGGCTCCCCAGTACCAGCTCCTTCCAATTGACCGCATCCAGCGCAGAGCGGCTCGAATCGTCGACGACCGAGTGCTTTCCGATCGGCTCGATTCACTGGCGCTGCGAAGAGATGTTGCATCTCTTTGCATTTTATTTCGCATATACCATGGAGAGTGCTCTGAGGAATTGTTCGGATTAATCCCCGCCGCCAAATTTCGTGAACGCACTACGCGGCAAACGTCCCGATACCATCCACACCATCTGGATGCTTGGCGGTCCACCACAGTACGTTTCAAAAGGAGTTTTCTTCCGCGTACAACCTCTCTGTGGAATAGTTTACCACCGGCGATTTTTCCGGACCGATACGACCTGGGGACCTTCAAGAAAAGAGCTTACTCCTTTCTAAAGGGCCGGCAACGCACCTGCAATTCCCCTGATGTTGCGGTAGATCATGGGCGGCGGTAGTCACTTAACATCTGGAGAGCCGCATGCTAGTTTGCCCCCCTCTTCTATAAAAAAAAAAAGAATGTCTGTCGATCACAACAAAACCATAGTGCCCCGTTTGTGGCCCATATTAAAAAAATTTCAAAATGAAATAGATGATTAACATGATTCGTGTAAAATACTCACCATTTTTATTGGTAATGAGATATTCAATCTCACTTTCTTAGTATACGGGGTGACAACGCATCTGGATTTTGATTCTTAATCGAGGTATCTATGGGCCACAGCGTCACTTACCATCGGATATGAGTTCGTTTGTCAAACTTACTTTATAAACAAGTGATTTTTTAATTTGTACAAAAAAGATTAATATACAACGTTTTACATATTCTTACATTGTCTATCGATTCTGAGCTATGTACAACTTTTCAAGTCTCTATCTATCCGGAAGTTCACGAAATTTGATTTGCAAGATTCCACTCCGAGCGACCGACAGACAAACAAACGTGGTAAAACAACCGAGATTTGTCAATTTTTTTAGCCAACTACTTCGTACATACTATATATATACATAACAAAATGCTCAAAATTAAAGGTATATGTCTAGAAATTTTCCATCCACCGTACTCACCAAATCCAGTTCCAACTAATTCCCTGAATTTGGATAACTTTTAAAAGGAGACATATTAAATACACGATGGACGACGACTAGCACCAATAAGGTGAAATTTTATTAAAGCTACAACATATATATGTCTTACTACTGTGCTGTACAATAAGTCCACTGCACTGCTCCAGTTGTGTTTGCAGCTTTCACTTCTCTTTGAAATATTTTATATGCAGGTTTCCTCAAAGATTGATATTTTTTATTTATTCTTTATTGCAACCTTATCAAATAAAAGATAACAAAGGGCAGAGTTAATGCCTATTGGCATTCTCTACCAGTCAAACCTGGATGTAGTGAGAATTAGTGGCTGGTCCAGTATTTTATTATTGAAAAAAATAATTAAACGACAGTATATGTATCATAACCGTTTTATTTCTTTAATCTGAACTTAATCCTAATAAATGATAATTTTTACTTAAAATATAAACTGCTTAAAAACTCATGTTAGACGGCATCGAAGATACATCTTCCGAAGGACTTTGACTGGAACTAAATGAACTAAGTGTTTCCCGCGTTTCTTCTTTGATTTTCAGGTGTTCTGTGCTGGAAGGTGGTCTAGATGGAAGAGGTTTGTCCTTGTCTTTCAAAGCTTTATCTTTACTATGTTTGTGCTTGTGTTTATGTTTGTGCTTCTTCTTTTCTTTCTTCTTTTTCTTGGCCTTTAGAAATAAAACACAGCGTACATTAAAACACAACAAACAGAGAGAACAAGTAAGGTTTAATAAAAATTACTTTAGTTACTCATATATTAATGAATTTACACAGTGTTTGTAAAGAGAAAAAACTGCTAGAGAGGACGAACCTACATAGGGACTAAGTGATAAACAAAAAGGCCTCTAAAATCTTTATATCACATTTCTAATGGCATTATGTTTGACCCTAAAGAAACAATCTATGAAAAGTCAGAGTACGAGAAATATATTTTTATTTCCCAATAATTTAGATTAGAGGATAACATGTATATGTGCGCACTCGTCACTTGTTGACAAGGATGTTTTATGTATTATGAAGCAATGGATATTTTAATTAATCTTTATTAACATAGCGTCGGTATTCTAATTGTACCGTGTAGTAGCGGTGTAAGAGTATCCACTACTTCATATCCCGTGGGTGTCGTAATAGACGACAGAGGAAAACAATCCAAAAGTTGGGCAGCAGTGTCTTCCTAACGACTTAAAATAAAAAACTGCGATTGCCAACCCGTTTACCAAGCGTGGCAACTATGGCAAAATGAGACAATGGGTATGTTCCGAAATACAACACAGTACACTGTCGAATGCGAATGACGTCATTAATAGACGTCGTATTCCACCATATTCGATACAACGAATCACCAATATGGCGTCGATTTATGACGTCATTCGCATTCGACAGTGTACTGTGTTGTATTTCGGAACATACCCAATATAAGACCATGTTCAGCAGTGTAACTGTATCGGTAGCGGATTCGAACTAGGCTCGTTCGCAGTAAACCACGCCTTTTTTTCTTTTTTCAGCTTTGCGTTGAGTCTTTTTTGTAGCTAAAACGCTTTCATGTCCTTTTGCGCTCAATGCTTGCAAACAAATGAACACCTCATATGTATATTTCATATAAAAAAAAAAAACCCACCCTGCGTAGGTATATGAAGGTGGAGGAGGCGAGAGAGGTCTCTACCTACCCCTCTGGATGACAGGCGTAAGTGTTTATGTATGTTATGTTTGGACAGTAATAATAGCCGTAGATGAAATTATACGATTTAATAATTTAATATTGATAAGGTCGACCACTTACATAAATTTTGTGTAAAGGATAAGCGTTAACGAACATTTTTCAAAGTAGTTTACCTTTGGTGTCCCTAAATCATCTTTGTCGTGCTTGAACATGCCCGGTTCGAAACCAATAGGTCCAGAAGATCCCGGAATACCAGGCAAAGGTACCGCGTTGTCGGATATGAACTCACGTTTGTTGTCATCCTGTAAATTTCATAGCTAAGTTAATAAATTTGCAGTTTTAGGATGAAATATTCACTTCTTCATTATCAGCTCCAAAAGGGCACTGCTGCTGTTCCCAGGTTTGTTTTAATCGTCACGCTTAACAGGCAGATTCAAAGTCTATACAAATACCCGTGCGATTAAAGAATGGGATTGAAAATGGCGTCGCCTCTATTCATCTCTCGTTCGCACACTATCGCTATCTATACTCACACCTGCCGGTAAAGATTGCAAAAAAAAACACGTTGCGATATGTGTTTTTCGTACGTTCTATAACCGCTTGAACGAGTTTGCGTGAGTTTGGTGCGCGATTTATCACTTTACTCCAACTAGTCATTGGAATCAATTATAACAAAATGACAAGAAATACAAAAAAAATCAGTCTGATTTTGCTATTTGTAAGCTACGACGCGTTTTAAGTTTCCTTCATAATATTGTTATTTTATTTCTTAATATTTTATTATAAAATACTTATGCCAATGAGACATAGCTGATGAACTTAAACTACTTTTAGTTTAGAAAAAGAATATGGGTTCTGCACAAAAAAATTAAAACCCCTGAAATTTAATCGTAAATAGTTCCACGTGGACAAAGTCGCGGGGAATAGCCAATTATAAATGAAATTCGAAATTTAAAAATATAGGGCAATAATTACGCTATTATAATTGGACTAAATGACTTCTTCCTTTCACAAATTACAAGAAGAGATTTATTAAGTTACGTGCAAAAACGTGAATATTCTAGAATACATTGATTACAAAGTAGTCACTTACGCTGTAAACTCCCAACGGCATTTCGTGCACAGAAACCACGTCGATTTTAACGTCCTCCTCCTTAATACTGGATATAGGAACGGGTAAGTCGTCATCTCGAATCACCGGCTCAACAGTTGGTTTTACCGTGTTCACTGGGGCCAGGGGCATAGGTTCATCAACAGCTCCAACTTCCAACTCTATTTTTACGTTCGTCTATAAAAATAAAAAAACAATGGGTCTTAATTTAAACGGTGACTAAATTATTAAAGCTAATTGTCTTTAACCCTATATAATAATAGTAAGAAAAACATGTTTCGAAAGTTGCCTTATCCCATGGGCATTAATCTGCGTCGCTACCTCAATGCGTATAAGCTAAAAGTACACGTGACTTGAAATACAACCTCCGCTCAAAAAAATGCAACACAGTTCGCATTTTTAAAATTAAACTAAAGAAAATCTTTTTTCAAAATCAATGTATCGCACATTTTTAATGGATATTTCGTCTTAATACAAAGAGTTGTGTATTTATAGTTTCAGGTTAAAACTATGGGAGTCATTCTATACAAAGTAGTAACTTAGCCACAGTCGTCGCGAAATTTGACATTTGCTGTCAAACTGTAGTTTTAGTTCGCAAATAACGGAGGGATTTTTTTCATAAAGCAGATTCTAGATTCATCCACAACAGCTTACAAAATATATATCCCCGACAACAGCATATAAAAGTCCACTGCAGAGCATCATAGAAGAGGATTTTGCTATAGTAGCCACGCTTGACAGGCGAGTTGTCAACCGCAGTTTTTTTAATGTCTGGGGTTATTTAATGATTTCTTAAATTTACGCGAACACTACACATTGAATAAAACTAAATTTATGGTTTTGATCGCGTTTAATTAACTACTTTTGCTTATTTTTACTTCCCGACGTTTCGGGTGTTTTACAACACCCATGGTCACGGGGGATTGAGATGTTTGACGTCCCAATGTCATAGTTAGCCCGGCTACCTTCAGTGTTTTAATATTAATTGTTCTGTCCGATCTACGCAAAACGAGTTTACGGTATCTTGAAGTCTTGCAGTGGTATGATTGGGTTTGGGTATAATTTTGTTAATTAGACGATCTTGAATGTCAAGATCGTCCCCACCAAAAGAACACCAATTCCTACCAAGGATGTTACGCGAGGCTATTGAAATTAAAAAACATCCTAATTTCAATAGAGAAGATGGATGGGTACTGCCATCTGCTTGGGATCCTATAATTTATATTATTAGGAAGATGCTCCTGCTCATCTGATTTTGTTTCCTCTGTCGCCTCTTACGACACTCATGCGACGATATGGGGGTAGTGGATATTTTTAAATTGCCACTACAAGTCAAGCATTCTAATTTAATCTAAGACTAATTATTATAAGCCATTTTTTGTAATAAAGCCAATTATTTATTTTTTACATTTATTTCTAATCAAATATCCTAATCTCTCGACTCGAGCCCTTTTAGGACAGGAAGGAACCAGTTATTATTACTATTCAATATCAATAGTGTTCATTTCTCTAACATAACGCTCCACCATGTTTTCCTTTAAAGCCAAGCACGTCGGCTCTTAAAATCAATCAGCACTTAAAATCAATTACCCTATTTGGTCCGCCAATAGAAACCTTTAGGCATTCATTTTTTTTTAAAGAAGTTACCATACTCTCGACGGGTAAGTATGGGTATATTTCACCAATCTAGTAATGGTTAGCAAAACGACGCTAATTTATCTTTATAAACGTAATTCTTCTGATCTCACTCGTGCGCCTCTAATCAGTCTGAGCTGATCGCTAGTATTTTTTTATAGGAAAGGGGGCAAACGAGCATACGGCTCACCTGATGGTAAGTGATTACCGCCGCCCATGAGCAACTGCAACACCAGGGGAATTGCAGATGCGTTGCCGGCCTTTTAAAAAGGAGTAGGCTCTTTTCTTGCAGGTCCCTAAGTAATTATAAAATCCAGTTATGTAACACCCGTATCATGGCGGTTAACCTACGGTAACTTAGATAAAGTTCAATTAAAACACTTTAACTGCTATTTCCTACAAAGAAATTCATATTGCTTCACCATTAAATTAACAAAAATAGTGTTTCTACGATAACCTACTTCGCATGGGTTAATTATGGCATGAACATAGCAGTATAAACATTTGGCGAAAAAAGGTAAATTGCTTTTTCGTCGCATGTTCACCGTGTAATTTGTTTCATTCTTTAATGTAGTAAAATGCGGTCATATTCATGATAAATGAAAAAGTAATTTTGTGTTTTCGTGTTAAAACAACCATGCAAAGAGTAATCAGTGATAAAATCAAAACTAAAGTAAATAGTATTAGTAATTTAATTAAAGTAATTCATGTCTTACTAAATCGTTTAACTCAAAAAAAATTTTTTATGACTTCTTTTATCTCATGTCATATTTTAACGCGAATTGAATTTGAATAGAAGTTTTTTTGTCAAATTATAATATTCCTATCACCTTTTTAATTTCCGAAGTTTCGTGCGCATTACGGCAGCCATTGTCCCAAAAGACTAAGGTGTTTGACGGCTATCTTCAACTTTTAAATAACAATTTTTAATCCGATCTACGCAGATCGAGCTTAAATCTTAATAACACTATTACTCATACTGTGAAAAGAAAAAAAAGCGATACGAACCGATGCGATGTTTAAAAAGATGAATTTTACCACCATCCATTAAGACCGATTTACACTTCGACAAGTACAGTAGTGAGTTAACTTGCGAACCTGGCGAGTTAATTAGAACCTCGTTTGAACGGCAATACCTCGTAATGTCGTCTACATGCACCAAGGTGCTATGCAGGTATCGGGCCTCGGGGTATACCCCATGGCCCGGACTTTCCTCATGGCCCACTGCTATGGGCCAGTCCTGGGTGCCTATATTAGGCTAGTTGCACGCGGAGACTTTCCGTAGTTTGAAATTTAATTTTCCCATAGTTAACCGACTACGGGGAAAAAGGAGGTTATCCGATAAAAAGTTAAAGTTGGCCTATCAGCGGCATTGAGGGTTGTTACTCGACTCTCTAATCGCTACAGAGAGGAGTTCTCTTGAAAAAGATCGCCCGTCCGGCGGCCGGGTATGCAACGGCGCAAATCCGTTTAGGTGTTCATGTGGCCCGTTGTCGGCGCGGTCGAACATGCCGCGCGCCAGCCGGGCCACAAAGTCGGTGATGTTCTCGACTCTCTTAGATCTTAGATCTCTCTCTCTCTTAGATCGGCCGCTATAACGTCATTGCGGACGTAGCGACCTGCTCCGACGATCGTCTTTAATGTCAGATGCTGGGCCTGCAGTCGCCGCCTCAGAGGGTCGCTCAGAAGCGCGTACCAGGCCGGAGCAGCGTAGGTGATGATGGTCCGGATATACATCTTGTATATCCGGAGCTTGGTCTTGATCGGCAGCTTGGATGCCAGGACCGGCAAGAGCGTCGCCCGCGCACATCGGGCTCTGCGGACGACAAAGTCGACGTGCGCGGTCATGCGCAGCGTCCTGTCGATCCTGCACCCAAGGTAGGTTAGGGCCTTCTGGTACGCGATCTTCTGGCCGTTGAGGGTCAGCGGAGGTGGAAATTTCCTGAGACGGCGAGTGAGCAGAGCGGTCGTCTTACCAACGTTGACGACCATCCTCCACTCGTCCAGCCATGGTGGCAACAGGTCCAGCAGACGCTGCATCCTGGCAGTGGCTATGTGGGCTCTTCTGGAGGTGAAATAGGCGCTATCGTCCGCGTATAGCGCCAGCTCAACGTCGTCCTCCCACTCTTGCAGCCTGCCTGCCAGTGTTGGGATATCGTTAGTATAAGCCGCGTACAGGACTGGAGACAAACAGCTGCCCTGTGGAACGCCGGCTCTGATGGATCTGGTTGCGGACTCGGCGTCCTCTACGCAGACGTAGAACTTCCTGTCTTCCAGGAAAGACGCCACTAGGCGCAACGTAGCAAGAGGGACACTGGTCTGTTCGTACAGCTTGTAAAGCAATCCTGAGTTGGTAGAGCCATGCGCACCCTGTCGAACGCCTTCTCGAGTGTAGAGAAGAGACGCCCATTACGAGATATGCAAGAATAAAGGCCCCAACAACGATTGGACGACTTACGACTACTCGTGCGGCCACGATTGTATTCAGCCGCAAGTAGGAGCAGCACTCTAGCCAACTGTGTGACTGTAGAGTGACCCCTCCTGAATCCGTGCTGCTCCGCCCGAAGTTGGATGCACGGACGGAGACGTCTTAGCAGCAATCTTTCTAGCAGTTTAGCTATGTGCGGTAATAGCGTGATCGGCCTGTAGCTGGCAGCTCTACGCCTGTCCTTCCCGGGTTTCGGCAAGACGATGACTTTGCCTTTCTTCCAGTCCATGGGACATGGGATGTCCGCAATATTCCATTGTAGAGTCGACCAAGCTCTACTAGGACGCTATTGGGCAGCTGTCGGAGTGCAGCGTTGGTAATCTCATCGTGCCCCGGCGCCTTCCTCGGTTGCAGGCGGGTTACTGTCCTCCGCAGTTCTGCGGGGGAGATGAACCACTCTCCTGCAAAAGGCAGCGCGGGCTACGACAGGAACTCCTGTACGCGACTTTCCTTACGGGCATGAAGCTCCAAGAACTCCGCACTTGCTGGGTTCAGCATAAATTGCTTCTCGAAGTGCTCAACTAGGATATCCGCTCTGCCCTTGGCATCATAGCAACGTTCACCCGCGCTGTTGATCAGCGGGCAAACGGGAGGTTTGGTGTTGGTTAACTGTCGGTTCAGTTTATAGAGCGACGCATCTTGCTCGTCCGCCTTCCAGATGCGCCGGTCCCAGGCCTCTCCTCTGAAGGCCTGGACTGCAACCGACAGTTCCTCCGATACGGTGTTAAGTTGCTTCTTTATCCTGGGGCAGCGAGTACGCGCCCAGAGCTTTCTCAACGCTCTCTTGCGCCTGATCTGCACGCATATATCTCGCGGCAGATCGTCTCGCCTTGCTGTGATCGGGACGATCGTAGAGGCCGCGTGGAGGGCCTCCTGGACGTTCCTGGTAATTCTAGTAGCAGCGGCCTCTACGTCGTCCGCTGTGCTTATAGGCTGGTGGACTGGAGATCTCTCCTGCAGATGTTGGCAATAGAGCCTCCAGTCGACAGATGTCTTGAATGCTCTGGGCGGCGTTGTCACCGCCTTTAGGCCAAGGGTTATCAGAATCGGGAGG